GAGCAGCAGGGGAAGGAGGAGAGTGAGGAAGAAGACGCTGCGATCCTCCGATCAAAGTCCGACCGACGTGAAAAGAAACAGAGGAGGATGAGGAGGAGGAGGAGGACTCATCGGATCAGTGCCAGCCGCGTCAACGTCAAGAGGAGGAGAACGACGAAGGGGACGTTGCCAAGGAAGAGGAGGGAAGAGGAGGGGGGGCAAGGAGGAGCAAAGGGAAGAGGAGGGGGGGCAAGGAAGAGAAGGAAGAGGAGGGAAGAGAAGAGGAAGGAAGAGGAGGGAAGAGGAGGAAGAGGAGGGAAGCGGAGGTCCCCCGAAAGTCTGCGGATGCCCCAGGGTGTTTCATGCATGGCCCAACACCCCACCGGAGCGCGCACGGGCTCGAGCGATCCGGGCGTCGTAGCAGAGAGCAGAGACACAGCACATTGGAATAGATGCATGTGTCTGCGTACATAGATATGTGCATACGCACACGCGCGTACACACCTTCACACACCTATGTGCACCTAAACCTACAACAACAATACACATACACACATATAGATAGAGACATACACACATTCAGACATACATACGTACATATATACATACATACATACATGCATGCATGCATGCAAGCATGCAAGCATGCATACAGACATACATACATGCATACATACATACATACATGCATATACACATACATACATACATACATACATACATACATACATACATATATACACGCATGCATGCATGCATGCATGCATGCATGCATACATACACTGCATGCATAATACATACATACATACATACATACATACATACATACATACATACATACATACATACATACATACACACATACATGCATGCATGCATGCATACATACATACATACATACATGCATACGTGCATGCATACATACATAAATGCATGCATACATGCATACATACATGCATACGTGCATGCATACATACATACATACATACATACACACACACACATATCTGCATGAATACGTGCTTACATACGTACATGCATACATATATACATGCATGCATACATGCATACATGCATATATATACGCATACATGCATGCATGCATGCATGCATGCATGCATGCATGCATGCATGCATGCATACAAACCTACATACGTACGTATACGTATGTATATATATGCATGGATATAGACATACAGGCATACGTACATACATAAATGCACGCATGCATGCATACATACATGAGTATAAATGTATGCACATACATATACGTATAGGTATGTGCGTGCATACATATATGTATACATACAGTCAGACATACAGACATACATACATACATACATACAAGCGCACATACAGACATACATCCATACAGACGTACACGCATACATATTTACATGCATGCATTGATGCAGACATGCCTACATGCACTCAAACATACATACGTGCATATGTACATACATGCATGCATGCACACGTACATACGTACATGCATACGTGCATACAAACATGACTGCTGACATTTATAAATATATATACATACATACATGCATGCATACATATATACATGCATGTATGTATGCATGCGTACAAACATGCATGCATGCATACAGACATACATGCAGACATGCATGTATGCATGCATGCATACATACATCTATGTATGCATCTATCAGCCACAGTGCCTCGAGGCACGAAGTGGAGTTAGCCCCAGGCTCTCATGTGTTCTCTGTTCTCTGCACTCAGGACTGGGGCATTCTAGCATTCTATAGGCTGGGGCCCCAGATTCTCAAATTTCATGGGCGCTCCCGCGCCTTCCTGAGCTGCCTCGCGTGACTTTGCCAGGGGCCACGGGGCACCAAGACGGGCCCAGAGGGGCCCAAGAAGCGCCCAACCTGCCTCCTCGCTGCTTTTCTAAGGCTCCCAGTCTGCGGGGAATCGCGCGCGCGGGCGAGGAGAGATGCAGGACGCAGCGTGGGGGGGGTCCCGCGCATGGGCCCCTGAGGGCGCCAGGGGTCGCGGGGAAGAGAAAGGCTAAAAGCTGCTTGCCGCCATCGAAAGTTCAGCCTGCGAGACGCTTGCGAAGACTGGGGGAACAAAAAATGAAGATGTCGATGCGGCCGATCCCTGGACCTTTCCCGGGGTGCGTTCTGACCAGAATTTCGAGGACCCAGCCGCTGCAACAAGGGATCTCCACGACGAGCAGCAGTACCAGTATGTTCTCTTAGGCCAGGCATGTCCTCCTACAGGCGGATTTTGGACGAATAATAAAAAAAGTCAGAGAATACGAAAAATATTCAAAAATAATCACAACATCGTCCCCGGAGCATTTTTTACCATTTTTGCAGATTCCTCCTGCAGAAGGGCATGCCCGACTTGACTGTCTTCCTCCCCCGCAAGACGGCCCAGCACACGGACGCCCTGAGGCTCTCAGCTCTCAGGGGTCCGACGAGAGGCGTCGGCGTGAGGTGCGCTCTTGGCTTGGGACACTCGCCGGCCGTGCACTCCGCCGCGTCGCTGCGCGCGCGCGGCCGCGAAGCCAAAGGAGGAGGAGGAGGAGGAGGAGGAGGAGGAGGAGGAGGAGGAGGAGGAGGAGGAGGAGGGTGGACAAGGGAGGTGGAGGAGAAGGAGGAGGAGGAGGAGGAGGAAGAGGAGGAGGAGGAGGAGGAGGCAGAGGAGGAGGAGGAGGAGGAGGAGGAGGAGGCGTGCGCTCGTCTGCGTCTGCACACGTCTGCGCTGTCTGCAGGCACAGGCCAGCACGCCCAAACCTCGTCCCGTCCTCCTTCTTCGTCCCTCCCCCTCCCCACACGAAGGTCGACCTCAGCGCACCGATCTCGACGACGACGCCTACGGCGGCAGCGACGACGACGACGATGGCCAGAAAAACGAGGACGACGACGATGGCGACGACGACGACGACGACGACGACGACGACGACGACGACGGCGACGACGGCGAATACGAAGATGAAGACAACGACCCTGAGATCCGCCCGATCGGGCCATTAGGGCCCTGGGGCCTGACAAAGGGCGTCATCGCTTGGTGCGGAAAAGATTAGACGCCAGGATCTCCGACGGCCACGACGACGAGGGTTGGCGGCGTTGCGTTTAGACGAAAAGAGAACTACGAACAGTTGTTTGTTCGTAGCCCAGCAAAGATGTTTCGGATCGGCGCTGGACCCCCATCCGTGGCGCGCGGAGCGCGCCAGGGGCTGCGCTGGCCGCGCCGCCGGGAGGGCCCAGTACCAATCCAAGAAAGTCGCTCGGAGCTCCGAAAGTTTATGTCTATGCCGTCAGTCTTCGTCGATGTGCGCTCGCGACAGGGGTGACGCAGCCCACGCCAAAAATAAAGGCGACACGGCAGAGGAGAAAGCCGAGGACTCGGAGCTCCGAAACTTTATGTGTGCAGTTGCTTGTTCTTCGACACTCGTGGCAGCCGCGACGGCGACGACGACATATGGAACAGAAAAACAATCATGTAAGCGTTGTAAGCGCTGGGCCCCCAAGGAATTGCTGGAATGCCAAGGGACCCGCCCGACCACTGATCTGACCTATCAGCCCTGGAATTACCGCCTCGAGGCCACCATGAGTCAGGTCAATACTCGGGCCACCTGGCCATCACCTGGAAGGACTCGGCCGACCCGAACGCTGACAAGACTCTTTCCGAAATCCATCACGACCGAAAAAAAGCTGCTTGGCGGGGCCGCAGCTCCTCAGGTTCGCCCGCGCCGTCAGCTCAGGAAGCCGGACCTCAAGGCGTGTCCGGCCGGGGCTTCTTTCTTGCGCGCGCTTTCCAAAAGGCCACCGTCATCGTCGTAGCCAACGGCATCGTCGTCGTCATCGACGACGTCGTCGTCGTCGCTATCGTCGTCGGCGGCGTCGTCACCGTGGGCGCCAACGTCGGTGTCGGCGTCCTCGTTGTGGGCGTCAACGTCGGCGTCGTCGTCGCGGTCGTCGTCGTTCGCCGTTCGTCGTCGTCACCGACGTCGTCGGCGGCGTCGTGGGCAGCGTCGTCGGCAACGTCAACGGCGCCGTCGTGTGCCTCGTCCTCCTCCGCTGACGCCCCCTCCTTTTCCTCATCGCTCCTCGTCCTGCTCCTCCTCCTCGTCTCCCTCCTCCTGCTTTTCCTCCCTCTCCTCATCATCATCCTCCTCCCCAAAGTAACCAGCATCGTCATCATCAGCATCATCATCATCAACAGCATCGTCATCATCAGCATACCCAACATCATCATCATCCTCAACATCCTCATCGTCAGCATGAACATCATCGTCATCATCGTCATCATCCCGATATTGCTCCTACTCTTCCTCCTCCTTCTCCTGTTCCTGCTCCTCCTCCTCCTCCTCCTCCTCCTCCTCCTCCTGCTCCTCCTCCATCCTCCTCCTTCTCCTCCTCCTCCTCCTCTCCTCGCCTCTTTCCTCCTCCTACCTCCTCCTCCCTCCTTCTCCTCCTCCTCCTCCTCTTCCTCCTCCGACTCCTCCCCCCCACTTTCCACCACCATCAGCACCACCATCAGCACATCGTCACCATCACCATCCCCATCACCACCGTCACCACTATCACCATCATCCCCATCATCGCCGCCACAGCCACCACCACCACCATCATCACCGTCGCCCCTCCCGCTGCTGCCACCGCCGCCCCCTCGTGTGCCGGTCCTCCCGCTCCTTCGCGCCTCTCGACGCCGCGCCCCTCCCCTCGCGGGCGCGCGGGGCCACGCAGAAGATGTACTCGTTGCCGCGGGACGGCCCCAGGCGATACTCCAGCCCTGCGGGGGGGGGGGGGGGGGGGGCGCGCATCGGGCGGCGACGTTGCCTCGGTGTCCTGTCGGGCCTCGCCCGCCCTCTGTCGGTCTGCCCGCCGGCGTCGCCGCCGCAGCGTTCGTAGCCTCGGCGCGGGTGGCCCTTCTCTCTGGGCCCCTCTTCTGGTCGGTTTGGTTTGCTTTTCTCTCTCCCTCTCTCTCTCTCTCTTTCTCTCTCTCTCTCTCTCTCTCTCTCTCTGTCTCTCTCTCTCCCTCTCTCTCACTCTCCCTCTCTCTCTCTCTCTCTCCCTCTCTCTCTCTCTGTCTCTCACTCTCTCTCTCTCCCTCTCTCTCACTCTCCCTCTCTCTCTCTCTCTATCTCTCTATGACCCTTCCAAGTCGCCTGAAAAAGATGGCGGCTTCTGGATGCCCTGGCCACAAAACATGTTGTCATCTTTTGGGGGGCGCGCTCTGTACCTCCGCCCGCTTCCCCCGGCGTAGCCTCGGGGGAGACGACGAGGGTGGATAGCCCAGGAGTGGGCGATACACTTCTCGGGGCTCGGCAATAGCAATATTGCTTCGGGCGCTGGAGTGGGGGGGGGCTGGGAATTTGAACAGGCGCGCGGCGCAAGACTTGAATGGGCGCCGAGATGGCACATCGAATGTCGCGGTAGCGACCGCGCTGACCAAATTCGGCGGCGCGCGGGATGAACCCGATACCACTACTGACGCCCACTGTCATTGCTCGCAAATGTCCGTTGCGGCAAAGAGATGGGAGCGTTCGTTTCGGCGAGCGCACTGTCGCCCACTGCGGGTAGTGCGGCGCCAGGACACTGCGGCTGGGGGCGGCTGGGCAGCGCGGCATCTTCCCGTTGATGCTACTCTGGAGGGACGGCGACGTCCAGGTGGCCGCGTGGCCATCTTGTCCAGGCGGGCCGCAGGTGCGGCCGCGCAGTGGTAGGAACGCCGCTGGTGCAGCAAAAGCGAATAAGTGTTTTCAATTTCGTGTGTGTCGACTTCCCGTGATTTGCACATCGAAGTCACTTGCACTTTGACGACATGCATTTAATTTGGTTACATGCGTTCCGCTTGGGCTATGTGCACCCAGTCTCATCGATTTCCTCTAAGATGGCCCCAAGAAGCGCCCAGGAGGCACCAAGAGGCCCCAAGATGGCCCCAAGAGGCCCCCAGGAGGCCCAAGAGGATCCCAAACGGCCCAAAGAGGCCCCCCCGAGGCACCCAAGACGCCGAAAAGCCCATCAGGACGACCCTCTACTCGCCTGGGCGTCGTTTCTGGACGGGCAGGAGGAGGGGCCCGAACGACTCACACCAGGACGAGGGGCCCGAACAACTCACACCACGAGAAGCCCGAACGACTCACACCAGGACGAAGAGCCCGAACGACTCACACCACGAAGAGCCCGAACGACTCACACCAGGAAGAAGGGCCCGAACGACTCACACCAGGACGAGAAGCCCGAACGACTCAAACCACGAGGAGCGCTTTCTCTCCCTCCTCCTCCGCCTCGTCCTTCTCCCGCTCCCACCACAAGGAGGATGTACAAGGAGGCGGGAGGAAGGAGGAACAGGGGAGATATGCGGGGGCAGGCGGAAACACGCCTGAAAAACACGACTGTCGGCATGCTTCGCAAGAGTTGCTGTTGTGAGATGGGCTGGTGGGGATACGCGAAGCGTAAAGAATTTGGTTACATGCGTTCCGCTTGGGCTACGTGCACCCAGTCTCAGCTAATGTATACCAGTTGTCCCGGGGAAAACAAGGACGCCCTCGTGGCCCGATGGCGACGTGCACTGCGATTGCGATTGCGATGCTCCCGCAGTGTCTCTTGCATCGCATCAGAGGGGGGCGTGCCGCGCGGCTGCACCGCCCCCGGCCAAAGTCTCTCGACGCCGCAATCTCCCGCGCGATTCGCCAGCGCGGGCGCCGCACTACGTTCCAATATCTCCTTGCCGCTACTGGCATCCTGGCCAGGAGGGGCACACGTCAGCAATGGAGTCGGGTTCGCGCTGCGCGCTGCTGCATCTGGTTAGAACCGGTGCTACCGCAACATTCGATGCGCTACCTCCACGCCAATCCAAGACTTGCGCTGCGCACCTGTTCAAATGCCAAGCCCCCCCACAACGGCGCCCGAAACACTGTTGCTATCGCCGAGCCCCGAAAAGTGCATCGCCCGCCCCTCATCGTCTTCTCGGCCCCTATTGAATCTCCGACGGCGCTCACAGGGATTTCGCCGACTTCCGCCAAAGAACAGATGTCAACTCCTTTGGTTCTCGAAGGCGGGGCCTTTCTTTTCTGGAGCGCCTCATATCTGCATACATATATACACATACCAACGAAATACGTACATACATACATACATACATACATGCATACATACATGCATACATGCATACATGCATACATACATACATACATACATACATACATACATACATACATGCATGCATGCATGCATGCATACGTACAGACAGACAGACATACATATATACATACATACATATATATGCATGCATACATACATACATATATACATACATACATACATACATGCATACAAACATACAGACATACATACATACATACATACATACATACATATACATACATATATGCATACCTATATACATACATACATACATGCATACATACATACATACATACATACATACATACATACATACATACATAAATCCGTCCATACATATGTACATACATACATACATATATACCTACAGACATACATACATGCATGTATACATACATACATGCATACATGCATACATACATACATACATACATATATACACACATACACACATACACACATGCACACATACATACATGCATACACACACATACATGCATACAGACATACAGACATACAGACAGACAGACATACAGTTGTGGCCCAAACCTACATATATATACATACGCATGAATATACACGTATGTCATGTATGGTTAAAAACTGTAGAGTGTGTATGCCATGTTTATATAATCATATTGAAATGTGCATACATAACAAACCAGCGTGCATGAACACGTGGAAATATACAAAGCGCATAAACAACAACACCAAAGCGTGGCATACATACATACGTGTCCGTACATCCATACACATATGCACACATGTGCCTGTATGCTTGTTCACGTGCGTACGCAAAGTTATGCACATGTAGCACATGGAGACACACATGCATATATATTATATATATATATGCGAGCATCCGCAATCAGACATAGACATCCACATACATATACATACATTTATACACGTGCACACATTTGAAGATGCGCATATATACACATCAAGAGTGAGGCATACAAAAAGAAAGAGAGAGAAAGAGAGATTCAGAAGAGAATGCGGGGTGCAGCAACAATAATAAACAACTACAAGTAATGCCAACAAATAAATAAACAAAATTAGGCGGGCCGTGGCATGATCACATGCACGCGCACGCTGCGGACGTGCATACACATGTACATATATATATATATATATATATATATATATGCAAGCCGACACAAATCCCACACAAACGCATTCAAATTTCCTCACATAGGTCAAAACAGATAGACCAGGGACTCCTCGGGCAGGCTGCCTCAAAGAGCAGCTTCCGCTTCCCGCTCGCGCGCCTCTTGCGCCGGGAGCCCCAGGCCTCCGACGCCCCCTCCCCGTCGCGCGTCGCCGCCGCCGCCGCCGCCGCCGCGGTCGCCCTCGCCGAGACTGGGAAGCAGGGCCAAAGACCACCGCGGCCCTCCGCCCTCCGCGCGGCGGCCGCCGCGCCGCGGCCGCCGCCGGCGCGGCCGGAGCGGCGGACTCGGCCGCCCGCCGCGGCCGCGCCGCGGCGGCACCTGCTGCGCGGGAGGCCCCGAAGGCGGAGGTCGGCGGGGCCGCGGCGCACCGCCTTCCCGCCACCAGCCTCGCCCGGCCTTCGAGGCGGGAGCCTCCTCGCCGCCGAAGGCGCCCAAAGAAACCAGAGCCCCGGCCGGGTGAGCTCCGGGGGCCGACGCCGCCGAGCCGAGCAGAGGGGCCCCGAGAGAGCAAGGCTCTGCAGGTCTTCTTGAGCTTTCGGGCGCCTCCGAGGCCCTCCCTCCTGGGCTTGGGCCGCGAAACGGTTGCATCGTTCGGACGCGTGCAAGTTTTCCTCCCGGCGAGGGCCGCATATCGCCCCGACCTCGGGGAACTCTCTTTCTCTCTCTCGTCGCGGCGACTTGGCACGGAGACGCGGTCGGGCGACATCTCTCGGACGCGCGCATCTTTTTTTCCCGCGGGGGCCGCATTCGCCCCGACCTCGGGGAACTCTCTCTCGTCGCGGCGACTTGGCACCGAGACGCGGTCGGGTTGCATCTTTCAGACGTGTGCATGCTTCTTGTTTTTCCCCGGCAAGGACCGCATTCGCCCCAATCTCAGGGAACCCTCTCCCTCGTCGCGGCGACTCGGCACCGAGACGCGGCCGGAAAGCCTCGGGGAGAAAGCGCGCGCGGCGCGGCCGCGGCGAGAGGGGTGATCTCTCTGCCACAAAGGGGCTTCCGACTCTTCAAGGCAGCATCAGAGGCCCGCAACATCGCCCAAAGGCCGCCCCAGGACGGCCCCCAAGAGCGCACCCAGATGGCCCAAGAGGGCCCCAAGACGACGCACCAGGCCCCGAAGACGGCCCCAAGAGGGAGAACTTGAACTGACATCCCGTGTCCTTTGCCCCAAGATGACCCCCAAGACCGCCAGCAGGCCCCCAATAAGACACCCAGAAGCCCGAGGAGGTCCTGTCCCCGAGGGGCCCAAATCGGGCCCCAGGAAGCCCAAGAGGCCCCCAAGAAGCCCCAAGACCACCCCCAGAACCGCCTCCAAGAGGCTTTGAGGCCTCCCACGAGATCCCCACGAATATTCAAGAGGCAGCCGACCTACAACTCAGGCGCGGCGGCGGGTTGGACCAGAGACCTCTAGATCCGCCGCCCCGTGTTGATTTATCGAATGGGGTGCCTGGCGTGAAGAACTTGTGAAAGGTGT